GAAGCCAATTATAACTTGAGCTGGACAAGGACACTGAGGCTCAAAAGAAGATTAGATACATAGGAGGAGAAGGCTGGTCTCAACAAGCCCAAGTACAGATAATTTCTTTACCTTCCAGTTCCAGAAATACCAGACGCTGTGCAGGTAAAATAGGAAGTCATGGTTCAACCTGATATAATCTTCTGGCCCTTTTTACTAGTCAGTTTCTTTCTACTCAAATCCATCACAATACAGACAGACACTCAGCAAATCGTACCTAACATTTTCTTGGGAAATAAATGCTAAGAGAGCATTCTCCAACTCTTACCTGGGCGTCAAAACATTGATCCGAAACATCACCGGTTCTTAATTCTGCTTAGCTTTTTATTAGGGGCAGGGCTTCCCTCCTCCCACAAAGAGGTATAAACTCCACCTTTTCCCAATCAACCATTGCCTCCTGCTATCATAGAGACCTCGCTTAGTATTCTGCCCGCCCCACCCAGAATTAACATATTCATTCTCATTCCCCCTCTTTTGTTCTCTTTCGCTGCCTTCTATTCCACCAGCAGATATATTTTTGTTTGCTTTCTTCCCATGTTTTTAATTTTTTAATGTTTTATTTATTTCTGAGAGAGAGAGAGAGACAGCGTGAGCAGGGGAGGGTCAGAGAAAGAGGGAGACATAGAATCTGAAACAGGCTCCAGGCTCTGAGCCAGCTGTCAGCACAGAGTCCGACCCAGGGCTCGAACCCACGAACCATGAGATCATGACCTGAGCCGAAGTCGGACGCTTATCCAACTGAGCCACCCAGGTGCCCCACTCCACACATTTTTTAAACCTTCTACTTTTAGTATGGTGGTGAGTGCAGAATATATTGAGCCTCAAAGACAAAATCATGTACAGGACAAAATGGACAGGAATCTAATTAGTAGGTGCTCTGATAATGTAGAAATGATGAGATTAAGAAAGATGGGAGAATGGGAGGAAGAAAGGTATCGCATAGAATGAGCTTACGGACCACTTCATCTATAATGTCCCAGAGTCGCAGGATATTGTGTGTAGACTTGAGCGTAGGCTGTAGGCATATTTACTTAATGTTAGTATTATATCCAGATGAAGGATGATGGGGAGCACAGGGAGGGGAAGAAAGAGAATACAAGCTAATGTTGTCTTAGTTTAGAGACAACGACGACTGTCTGAAGAAAAAGAGGACTTTATATCAGGAAGCCATCAGAAGAAAATCCAGCCTTCCTATAAATACTGTCACACCAGAGCAAAAGTAACAAATACAAATAAGTTGGTGAAAGACAGATATGTGCATACAATACATAGCAGAAAATACTATCACCAAAATAAAACCACACAAAATTCTCATGTCAATAAAAGTAAATGAACTTAATTCTCTTATTAAAAGAAAAGATATTGCCAAATTAAATCACAAAGCAAAACTAAATTCTATGCTGAATGCAAGACATATTTCAGAAAGGTTTAAAATAAAAGGATGGAAGACAAAATGGTGAGTAACAGATAAAAAGATTTCTATATGGATTAACAAAGCAGAGGGTGAACACCTGATGTACGTGCTCACATTTTTACACTTAACAGGTGAGGTGTTCGCACTCGTGCAAGCTTCTTTGAAAGGTGTTCACATGGCTAGTATATTTGAACACGTAAAGAAACCACTTTTATATCATTAGAAACAGAAATGGTAACAGTGAGTGAAAGAAGAAACTAATAGCATCTACATTGAGGGCTGAGAAGAGTCACTGTCATGTGGCGATCACATTACCAGAAGGCCAGCTGTGTCTAGTTAAAATGCCTGTGCCTTTCCACTGAAATCATGTGTCACTCTAGGAAAGTGTGTGCTTCTCACAGAGCTATCATCAGCTGTACTATTGCTGTCTATACAGTCTGAAGCGTCTGACTTTGGTTTGCCTTCATATAGTCATACCGATGGTCACATTTTTCTCTTTAGAGAAGCTATAATATTGCAATTATATTTTGGATAATTTGGTCCTAGACAAATAATCTTTTTACTGGAATGGAGGAGGGGGCAAAACGGCGGAGAAGTAGGGAACTCCGTACATTGCACTCGCCCCCATAATCTTTGACATGCACAATTTCTTCACGGCAACAGTATTTACACTTACCCAAATGGAACTGAACAGTTGGTATATGATGGTATACTCACATACTGGAATACTATGAAACAAAATTTTAAGAAACAATTGCTATATAAAACAGGGGGGAGATACATCTCACCAACATAATTTTAAACAAATGAAATCACACCAGAAGAGCATGTGCTATAAGGATTGAATTAAATATTGAAAATGTTTTCAATATTAAAATTGAAATATAAAAGGATACAAGAGATCTGTATGATGAAAACTATAGAAAACTTATGAAGGAAATTGAAGAAGACACAAAGAAATGGAAAAACATTCCATGCTCATGGATAGGAAGAATAAATATAGTTAAGATGTCATTACTACCTAAAGCACTCTACACATTCAATGCAATTCCAATCAAAATTGCACCAGCATACTTCTCAAAACTAGAACAAACTATCCAAAAATTTGTATGGAACCACAAAAGACCCCGAATAGCCAAAGTAATACTGAAAAATAAAACCAAAACGGGAGGGATCACCATCCCAGACTTCAGCCTCTACTACAAAGCTGTCATCCTCAAGACAGTATGGTATTGGCACAAAAACAGACACATAGACCAATGGAACAGAATTGAGAACTCAGAAGTGGACCCAAAAGTATACAGCCAACTGATCTTTGACAAAGCAGGAAAGAACATCCAATGGAAAAAAGACAGCCTTTTTAACAGATGGTGTTGGGAGAACTGGACAGCAACATGCAGAAGAATGAAACTAGATCATTTTCTCACACCATGCACAAAAATCAACTCAAAATGGATAAAGGACCTGAACGTGAGACAGGAAACTATCAACACCCTAGAGGAGAAAGCAGGAAACAACCTCCTTGACCTCCACCGCAGCAACTTCTTACTTGACACATCCCCAAAAGCAAGGGAATCAAGAGCAAAAATAAACTGTTGGGACCTCATCAAGATTAAAAGCTTCTGCACAGCCAAGGAAACAACCCAAAAAATTAATAGGCAACCAACGGAATGGGAAAAGATAGTTGCAAATGACATATCAGATAAAGGGTTAATATCCAGAATCTATAAGGAACTCACCAAACTACACGCCCGAAAAACAAACAACCCAGTGAAGAAATGGGCAGAAGACATGAACAGACACTTCTCCAAAGAGGACATCCAGATGGCCAACAGACACATGAAACGATGCTCAGCATCCCTCCTCATCAGGGAAATACAAATCAAAACCACACTGAGATACCACCTCACGCCAGTCAGAGTGGCTAAAATGAGCAAATCAGAGAACTCTAGATGCTGGCGAGGATGTGGAGAAACGGGCACCCTCCTACACTGTTGGTGGGAATGTAAACTGGTACAGCCCCTCTGGAAAACAGTGTGGAGGTTCCTCAGGAAACTAACAACAGAACTCCCCTAGGACCCAGCAATAGCACTGCTAGGAATTTACCCAAGGGATACAGAAATGCTGAGGCATAGGAGCACATGTACCCCAATGTTCATAGCAGCACTCTCCACAATAGCTAAAACATGGAAAGAGCCTAAGTGTCCATCAACAGATGAATGGATCAAGAAGATGTGGTTTATCTATACCATGGAATACTCCATGGCAATGAGAAACAATGAAATCTGGCCATGTGTAGCAACATGGATGGACCTTGAGGGGGTTATGCTGAGCGAAATAAGTCAGGCAGAGAAGGACAAATATCATATGTTTGCACGTATAGGAGGATTAGGAGGAACTTGACGGAGGAACAAGGGGGAGAAGAAGGGCGGAAATGGTGGGGGAAAGGGAGAGAGGCAAACCATGAGAGACTCTTGAATGCTGACAAAAACTGAGGACTGATGGATGTGGGGGGGAGGGGGGGATGGGCATGGAGGAGGGCACTTTGGGGATGAGCACTGAGTGTTATGTAGAAACTAATTTGACAATAAACTATTTGTAAAAAAAAAAAAAATCTACTTAATGAAGAGAATTTGATAATTGAGAGGTACCATGAAAAGAAAAGAAGTAAAATGATGTGTTAAAAAAAATTGAAATATAAATTTCAAAAATGTGATAATTAGTGTCAGGATATATTAATCACCAGGATGTGGTTACCTCTGTGGGAGAAGGGGTTAGAGTTGGGTCAGGGTAGGCAATACTGACACCTGGATGTGGGAGTATCTTTACTTTGTGTTATGAAATACATCTTTCCTTTGACAATATCTTTACCATGTTATGTTTACAGACCTCTGGGTAGGAAGATATATTCGTGGGTCAAAATGTGGAACTGTATACTTTCACTATGGTCCCAAATATTCCTTCAGATATACTTTCCTGCCTTATGGATTCCAGAAACCGCTGATCCCCACATGATCCATAAATTACGTTCAGTGAACAGTATTTTCTAAGATTCAGGAAGTTAGCTCAACTGATCTCTTCTAATTATATTGTTCCTTTGTGATACACATTTATTTTCCTTATTAAATATGAATTTTCAAGCCAATTTAATAAATATGCTCCTTTTCAAGTGATAATAATCTTTTGGTGTTACCTAAAATATCAGCTGGTCTGTCCTTTGTCTTTCAACATGACTCTACGATTTATCAAAACATTAAATTAATCAAACCATGATGTATGTAAATTATGCATAAAAAAGCTAACAAAAAGCATGCTACCATTATTTCTTAAAAAATATATAAGAACATAAAACAGATACAGAGGGAATAAAAGAATGAAGACACAGAAAAAATAATGGAAAGAACAGAGAGCAGGTGAATTAGCGTTTGAGGGCTTCTACGAGATTCTGGACTTTCTGCAATTTTCAAATTGGTAAAATAATTTTTTTAAAAAGAAGGATGCTGGCCGTAGAGGGGCATGTTCATTGACCTGAAGTGCAATTTTGCAGCTTTTCCAGATGTGCAGGAGAAAGCCTGCCTCCAACCCTCCACGGGAGAGTCTGTGAAGACTTGGGAGAAAGGTTTGGATATTTTTTGTTGTTGTGTCTCTGCAGTTTAATTTTTCTCCTCTCTTATCATAATATTTTGTTTTCTCTTCTTTCTCTCTCTGATCCAGTCTTTGCAAGATCTTCAGCACTTTGCTAAAGGAGACGAAAATTCCAGCCCAGTAGGTATATCTTAAGCGGAGCCCAGTGACTCAAGAACAACTGGTGATGTCAGAAGCTGAGCTAGTCCAGGCTTCTGCATCTGCCTCTTCGAGAACAGACTTCTTTTCCTTTTCAGCAATTTTCTTATTTTCCCTACGGCTTAGAGGAATCATCCTCTCCCCTGTATTTGTTAGAGAATTGGCATCAAAAATATTGTCAGCTGGCGACAGTGCCGAGGTCGGCTTCTCTTCGTCCATCCTTTCCTCTTATTCTCCACCGGGACCCCGAAGGTGGAATCCTGCTTATTCTCAACCCAGTGGCTGGAATCGAGCGCCCAAAGGCCCAGGAGGAGAAATCTGAGCCCATGCACTTCTTGGTGTAAAATGTGGGGAGCTGTGATGGCCAGTGAGCTCGTCCCAATCATCCGCGTGGGATGAGGGATGAGGTCGCAGGCAGCCGGCGCGCTTCTTCTGGGCCGCCCTTCCACGAAGCTAAGAAATCCCGAGTAGAGTCTCCCTGGGGGCGGGGGCGGGGGGGGCGGGTAGGAAGGGAAGCCGCTTAAAGGATCTGAGTGGGTTTCGCTTTGGTTTTGAGGACGCCCCGCGCTGCATTCCTCCCGCGACCTCCCGGCTTCGGTTCGGGTCTTGAGCTACGTCCCAGGTTCGCTTTCAGACCCGAATGCAATCACCACTCGCACCCCCTCCCCCTTCTACGTCACCCCTGACTTCAGCACCCGGAGAAAGGCTCCCGGCTGGGCGGCCGGCTGGGCGGACCCCGTCTCCCACTAAGGCAGGTGCGCAGAGCCCGGAGGGTCCCCGGGCCTGGAAGCGCTTGGCGAAGCCTCTTGGCTCCTGTCCAGTCGGCCCCGCTCGCTCTCGGGCTCCCTCTTGTGGGCCCTTATTCCCTCCCTCCGGCCCCCACCCGGTCCTCTCGCTGCCTGAGTCTGTTCCCGACAGCCCCGCTTCCCTGTTTTCGTTTTTTGTTTCCCCCGCAGACCGCGCTGTCCATGCTCCCTCGTCCCCCCTGCAGATTCACCCCGAGCAGGACAAGGCTGAGCAAGCACCCGAGAGTCCGTGAGCAAAGGGGCCTTGGCTGCAGGACCACTTGAGGCTGTCACTGTGCGGTGGCGGGGGTGGTCGCCGCCGCCCTGTGCCGCTGACAGGAACGGATGCCCATGCACACCCTTGGATTTCCGATCGGGTTTGAATCTCTGTGAATTGGAGAGTGTGGATTTAGGGACCCTCGCCTTCTAGGATTTTCTTTCACCCTGGCAACAGGTGGGACATTGCCCTCCACTGCTCTCGGAGTCTCGGGGATGAACCGGGAGGCCTTAGCCTTCGGGACAGTGGGACCCTTCCTTCCAAAGCTGGCGACAGGTGGGCCTCGCAGAACCCCAGACTCCTCTGTATGTCGTCGTGGTGGTTCACATGACTTTCTTGAAAATTAGGCAGTCCCTTTCAGATGACTCATTTTCACCTACCCACTCACTGCCTTTTTCATAGACACAAAGGGGAGCGGGCAGAGAGGATGTAGAATTCCCTTTAATCCTGGAGTTGTGGATGAAGAAGGGAAACAGTCGCTGCTCTGAAGAAAGCTAAGACCCACCCAGTCCCTGAAGACCTTAGGATGTCCAGGATTTCTCCACAGACATTGGGGCTGTCCCAGTGACCAGGGTTCCCTACCATTTAGCCCTAGAGGAATAGGGGAGGGTCCACCTTCTGTACAGCATCCTGTCCCCTCCCCTAGACATCCCCTGGCCTCCATGTTTGTCTTGTTTTGTTTTGTTTTTTCCAACCAGTAAAATAGAAAATCTTTTCGCCCTTTGTTCCTTCCATCCGCTTCCCAGCGGCTGCCTTACTTGAGTCACTGCCCAAGTCCAAAAGGTTGCACTTCAATTAATTGTTTGAGAGACAGCTTGCACAAGCGGGCTAGTGAGAGAGAGAGAGAGAGAGAGAGAGAGAGAGAGAAAATCTTAAGCAGGCTCCATGCTCATCGTGGATCCCAACTCAGGGGCTCCATCTCATGACCCTAAGCCAAAATCAAGAGTCAGATACTCAACCAACTGAGCCACCCAGTCCTCCCCGGAAAAAGGTTGCGCTTTAAATCATTGATGAGGTGCTGGAGCTGCCTGTGGTTCCCAGTCCCACATCTGGTCCTTCCTATCTTATTCTGTGTGTGACAACTGCTAGAGCCTGAGAAGTTTGAACTAGCCAAGAAAATTTAGGAAAATTCCACTGGAGTTTGTCAGGCCTCCAGGAGCTCGCGTTTACACTTGTGCATTGAGAGGATGGAGCACCTGCTCTGTGCTGATGCAGGTGAGGCAGGGGATCTTCAGTGAATATAGAATGGGAAGGATTTGGACAATTGCATGATGGGTGGAATCGTTGCTCAAGAAAGGAGCAGGTTTTGGGTTTGGGATGAATTCTGTTTTTGACACTTCAAGAATGGTGTTCCAGAGGAAAATGTAATGGAGATGTCACTGAGATCATTACTGTGTGATACAAATTTTGCAGAAATTTATGGACTCAATGTGAGAATGACAGATAGAAACACAGGGCATGATGAGTTCATGCTGGAACAGCATATAGGCTACATGAGAATATGCAGATTTCCAAGACAGAGACAGCAGTGAAGGGAAACCAGGAGTTTATGGTACTTGAAGGAAAGGAATGCCCAACGATAAGAGTGGTAAATGTAGGAACAAACTAATTCTACAATCTCCTTTCCTCCCTTTGACTTGCTGCCTCCTTGAGACTCAGGTCAAGCATCACCGATATGAGGGGATGTGTGTCCTTCCTCTGGTGGTTCAGATTCCATGCACATGACAGCACACAGGTGACTCCTTGATAGTTCCCATTCAGTTTTTGTCCAATGTATGCAAAATGAAAGAGCCTAAGTTCTAATCTAGCCCAGTCTACGTGTCTGCAATGGTTCTGAGAGAGATTTTCCTCCTTGGTTCTTCTCCCTAACTACATTTTCTTTCAGTTTTCTAGGGAAGAGCCTGAGGAAGTCCTTCAGCTTCAATGTAATAATTAATGAGTCCTATTCCCTCACCCACTTGGGTCTTACTAAACTGGAAAAGCAATGAAGTCAAATATAGATCATGAAAAAGCATAGTGAAGTGAATAAATATCCAGTGCCTAAACTGTAGTCATTTTTAATACAGCATTAAAAAGTGGGTTTCTCTCTGGAATATGATGTGGGCTTAAAATTAGATAATTTGGGGGCACCTGGGTGGCTCAGTCAGTTGAGCATCTCACTTCAGCTCAAGTCATGAGTTCGAGCCTGGCATCGGGCTCTCTGCTGCCAGCCAGAGCTTGCTTCAGATCGTCAGTCTCCCTCTCTTTTTGCCCCTCCCATACTTGCTCTCTCTCCCTCTCTCAAAAATAAAAATAAAACCTTAAAATAATTAGTTAATTCAATAACCCAATTCCCAGTATGAATATAGCTAAGGAAAAATTGCACTAATACATGAGAGAAGTAGTTTTTTAAACAATGATTAACATTATGGATTAAAAGGAACAATGATGTAAGTAAATAGGCATTTTCTGAATAAGTTATAGTTTATTTCAAATGTATATTAGTCAGCATAATTGTAGTCATTGCAAATTCTATTAACTTGAAATTCAGAAGTAAGACAGGTGTATATTTCTGTGACTTACCACTGTTCTGGATATTCCAACCAACACATTCAGAAAGAGAAAGGAATTAGAGGTATAAAATTGTAATTATTGCTTTTATTTTTAAAATATTATCTACTTAGAAAATCGCTTAACAATAATTCACTAAGGCACCTACTTACCTAAACCTTCAAACCTTAATGGTTTTCATATAAAAACAATATAACTACTTCCATGATACTAATATTCATGAGAATACAATATGAAAATAGCCAGGAATATACAGGGAGAAAAGAGTATAATTAGAGAACACTAGTCTTAATACATTTCCAAACATAACAATAAGATAAATAATGAAAACAATATGCATCTGAGACAAGAATTCACAGAAACACCAGTAGAAGAGAATAGTATATGCATCTATGTCTGTATCTCCATGTATCGATCCATGTGTGTATGGATGTATCTACCTGTATATCTATTACTTAACTCATCCATCTATCCATTCATCACCCATCCATCTATCCTGGATGTTAAAGCTGAGGTTCACCTGTGCCTGGAGCAGCAGGAAAGAGTTTAGGCTTCGGCCAGGAATGAGTGCAGAAACCACCTAGAGGAGCAGTGATCCAAATCATAAATCCTTGGGTCCATGGAGATGCTTATTCAAATGAAATCGGGAAGTTTATGAAATTTTTCTTTTTTTCCTTTTTTTAGTGTTTTATTTATTTTTTAGAGAGAAATAGAGACAGCATGAGCAGAGGAGGGTCAGAGAGAGAGGGAGACACAGAATCTGAAGACAGGCTCCAGGCCCTGAGCCAGCTGTCAGCATTAGAGCCCGATGCAGGGCTCGAACCCATGAACCGTGAGATGATGACCTGAGCTGAAGTCGGACCCTTAACCAACTGAACCACCCACGTGCCCTGAAGTTTTTCAAAAATTAAAAAAAAAAATAGATTTGTTCTTTTCTGCTTTCAATATTCTATTCATAGAAAAAAATAAACATTCACAAAAGTAGAAAGAATAGAAAAATGAACTAACTGATCATGAAACCATTGCAATGATCAACTCATGGCTACTCTTAGAAAATACATTTTAAAACCTAGTCAACTAAGTTTTAAAAGCAACATTATGGCAGCAAAATCATAAAGTTATATTCGTGACTAAAATAAATTAACTTTTATATATGTATATAAACATATATAAAATAATATTTTTATTAAGTAATATATATATAGCAAGCATTGGCCATTTTAAACATTTTAGAATTTGCCATTCTCTGGAAATATAATGTCCACATCCATCACAGCCAGTGACATGCCTCCTTTAATAAAAACAGTTATCTTAAGGAATGTTTCTGTACTGACTTCCCTATTTTTATTTTTTTATATTAGTAAGACTCGTGGAGATCTAGGAGTTCAATATACATACACCAATGTGCCTCCTGTGTGACTCTGCTTACTTCCACCTTTCAGAATGGCCAACCCCTTTTTCATCACAGATGAGGTACAGAAGTCCTGAGGCACAATTCCACAGGAAATGTCGGAGTCACCCAGGCTCCTAGGTGTCCCCTAATAGCTGTGTCATGCAGAAGATGAGAGGAAACTTCTCACTTCAGGAAACAGTCTAACCCAGTGTTCTCACTATAGCCCTGTTGTCTCATTGTTTATTACAAGAGCACTTGGTGCGTGGAGTTTCTAGGGGGTGGATTTGGGGTACAGAGGGGAGCCAGAAAATACTGTTCATGATCCTTTCTTTCCAACCAGTCCTCCTTTGTGTTGAGGAGGGAAGGCAAAGAGGAAGGAAATGAAAAGGGACATTTTCAGACATCATGTCTGACCTTGGGGTCTGGACCTCCTCTCATGCTCATGATTTTACATTTAGTATAGGTTGCCTCTCTGTAGGCAGCACACTCTCCAGGAGACAGGCTCTTGAGCCAGGCATACAGATCCACCTTATACTGTTGTTTCTGCAGCTCCTCAGCCTGCTGCTTATTTATAATGGTCCTTCTGGCTCTGTGGGACTCGCTGCCAGCACCTGCCAATCTCCACCCTGTGCTGCCTCAGGGGCACATCTTGTAGCTCCCTACTCAACCACAAATCCCAGTGGAACTTCTCATGTCCATTCATGGGGGGCTTCTGGAGCTCTCCATGGAATGTCATTGTCTTGTAAAAATAGTTTTCTGGGGGAGACTTCACTTCTGGCACATGACTTGAAACTTCTTTTGGGCCCTGTTTGGGCTTCTCTTGGTTGCATTCGATTTGTTGGAGTTCTGGAATAGATCAGGGTGGTCAGCCTTGAATCGAGCCAGTTTCTCCTGGAATTCTTGTTTCTCCTTCTGAAAATCTTGAATGTATTTGAGCTGTATCTGCTCTGGGCGCTCCTTGTATTTCTTAGACATGAGCTTGTTCAGCTCCTGATTGCTCAGGTTGGGATATTTTGGGGAGCACTGAAGCCACTTCTCCTTGAAGAAGCGAAGGTAAGCAGTCAGGGGCTTCTTGGGCAAGTCTAGTTGTTTCTTGCGATTTTTGCTTCTGTCGGTCTTTTCAACATGTTCCTTAGCTTCCCGGACTAATTCTGTCAAAGTGCGAAATTTTCTCAGGTGATAAGAAACCTCCAACCATTTGAGTTTGCACATTTCTCTAGAATAATCCTTAAAAGCTACTTTTTCCCAGTCCATCTGTGACTGAGTTGTTTTGAATGTGTGGCTGTCATTGGATGGAAGGTTAGTCTCCATACGTTCTAGTAAGTTCATAATGTCTTCTTTGGACCAGTGACCTTGGCCTCTAGACAATGCCACTTCTAGTTCTTGGACCACTTATCTGGACTTAGCCATTCAGAAACTTCAGCAGGAGCTCAAACTTCCTCAACATCAAGACTTATTTCTGGAAGTCCTGCAGTGTGTGGAGGTCTATGTTTCTGAGGAGAAAGAGAAAAAATGAATAAGAAAACCACAATCCACTTGGGGATATGCCCCCTATATAATTTAATAACCCTTAACAGTGTAAATGGAAAATTGCCCACTTCTGAGTTGAAATTTATGTTTACATTTTTGCTTTTATTTTTTTGTCTTGCTTTGTTTTTTAGAGAGAGAGAGCATGTGGAAACTTAAAAGAGGGACACACAGAGACAGAGAGAAACCCGAGCAGGCTCTATGTTCATCGAGGAGCCCTATATGGGGCACAATACCATAACCCTGGGATCATGACCTGAGCAGAAATCAAGAGGTGGACACTTAACCTACTGAGCCACCCAGGTGCCACACTGTTCCTCATCTTTAAGCCTCAGCCCCGGGGCGCCCGGGTGGCGTAGTTGGTTAAGCGTCCGACTTTCGCTCGGGTCATGATCTCGCGGTTCGTGGGTTCGAGCCCCGCGTCGGGCTATGTGCTGACTGCCAGCTCAGAGCCTGGAGCCTGTTTCAGTCTGTGACTCCCTCTCTCTCTGACCCTCCCCTGCTCACGCTGTCTCTCTCTCTCTCTCTCTCCTAGAAATAAATAAAACATTAAAAAAAAAAAAAGCCTCAGCCCCTTTTACCACACTACAACAAGATTTTCCAATTAAGTTTTAGGGCCAAGCCAAATATAAAACTACATGAAATCTAGAACATTCCCTGTAGATATCCCCATTTGTGTATACAAGGAATGTAAAATAAAGAAAATAGTATGTAAATTTGTTAATGTCAAAACAATAACAGATTAAAATTTGAAAGCTCAAGAGAAACTGGATGGACTTACATAATTTTTGTTAACTAGGCATACTATACCCACTTAGAAAAGTCTTAAGCCTGCTGACAGTTAAATTAATTATTTTTAAAGAAAAAAGTAAGGACTCCTCATCTAATGATTGTATATTTGGTTTCATCAATGCTTATAAGAAGATCCACCCAATTGGGTCAGGAGTTGTGTGTTCTCTGGGCTCTCTACAAGAAGACAGGGGTAACTTTCTGAGTTCTCACAGTCCGGCCAACTTCATAGGCCTCCAAAAAAAACAAACTTACTTTGCCTTTCCAAAACCTTTAGTTTGCAGTCTCTGAAGCTCTGCCCTGATTAGTTTCAACAGTAGGCAGGGCCAGTGGAAGGTGCACCTTTTTGTCCTTATATAGAATAATTCTATTCTCAGTCTCCAGAAACCATGTGCTGAAATTACCCTCCTGTTATTGGTTCATCCTTGCCATTATTTTAAAAAAACGTGCACATGACAAATTTTTGTCTGGGTTTCTGGGTCCCCACATTCTTCTCCAATTCCTGCTTGCACATCTGACTATATTTCAATATGGTATTTGAATGTAGATCCTTCCCTTTGGTGTTAATTTCAGTGCCTTCTTGTGGTCTAGGATCTGATATTTTCTCATCTTCAGGATGGCCATCTAAATCCTTTCAGTGCTGCTCAAGATTTCCTTAGTCTACCGACATTCAGGTGAACTTTGATATCAAAATGTGAATCATTACACTGGGTGTTATATGGAAACCAATTTGACAATAAACTATTTGTAAAAAAAAAAATAAGCAAAAAAAATGTGAATCATTATATTCAATTCTGGGTCTAGGGAGATGGGATTTCTAAACAAAAACTACAGAGGATTTGGTGAAAGCAATCGATCAAAGTCAAACTATTAGGAGATCATGATTGCAAGGATGACGTAGTTTTACTTCTACAGCAAACACTGGCGAAACCATAGCTCTGTTCCCTTGGTGATCACACAGTTTACCCGAGAGAAGTTCCTGCCACTTCCCAAGTAAAAGCAAACACAGTATCATTAGTTTAATATCCCAGCAAACTACATTTGTTTCTATGAAATCATCTCATTTTCCAAATTTAAAAAATGACTCCATTCCTTCATCTTTTTCATAACTAAAGCTATTTTGTCATCTGATCTTGCTACATATTTTTGGAATAATTTGGTGATTAAGTTTTGGTTTGTTGTTTTACTCATCCCTTGGCTGTTTATATAGATTATAAGGACTCAAAGTAGTTTCTGGTCTTGTAATTTTTTAGTCTGTGTAGATCATAAAACTGAGTTAGGGTCATCTTATTTTCTTTGTATAAATATATTACATTCTATTCTATAAGTGGCAATATGCAAGTATGTTAGAGGAAATATTTGGTAATCTATAAGTAGATAAACATTGGATAATTTGGAAAAGAATTGTATTTGACTGTTGGCAAATAATTTCAAAAACCTAAATTTTCTGACATAAAGTTAGAGATGGCACGAATGAATGGGCTTGGAGAAAAGTGACACTGGTAACTGCAGAAATGTCAGAAATTAGAGGAACAGTGTGTTTATGTAGAATAGAAATAAATGAATATTTTGCAAAACAAAATTTTAAAATTATGATACATTTTCTGGTGCTGATTGTAATTATATGATTGTTAAACCTTTTCACCATGACAAGGGTTGCTTGGTAATAGTTCCAAAGGACTTCAAATATGCTGTTAGTCCCTTCTTCACAATTGTTTTTCGATATCGGTGTATCTATAATAAAGATAGGAAGGCAAACTCAAAAACTCAGTATATACATGTAAGAAGATTCAACTTGAAATCTGGTCCAATTTTACAAAGATTAATCCTGCTAACTTTTATATATTCAGAAATTGATTTTGGTGATGGATTCCATTTGGAATAAAAAACATCAAGGAGAAAATTTAGTTTTATGACTATGTCTTATGTATGCACATTTTTGTGCATTTTAGTCAATGGGTTTCAATAAAGGCATTTTTCTGGATCATGGATGAGGGACAGAAGACATACAGATCAGTGGCATTGTATATGTTTATTCATTTCATCACCTGTTTTTTTTTAAATTTTATTATCTCTTATAAGGATGTTATTTTACTAACTATTATATCCCCAAGCTGTTCCTGGAACTGTAAAGTTATCAGAAAATTCTTGTTTATTGAATTAATTGAGTTGCTTAGAAAGTACAGATTGCTTGTTTTAGCCTGTTGCAATGTCTTGGAGAGTAATAGCTTACTGATTTGATTGAGTCAAAGATAGGACTTCTGGCTCCAACATTTAGTAGCAGTGTGATTTTGGACAAGAAATCATGATGGGATGGTTTTGACACTTAAATGAAATTAGATGAGTTTAGTGCAAAGCTAAATGCTCTTATTGCAAAGAGCTCCTCTTTATGAAGTGACATAAATAGTCCACAAATATTAAGACCAAAACATGCACAGAAATCTTATATGAGCATATAAGTATACATTTATGCCTGCCATCTACAATCCCTTATTTTTTGGTTCTACACCTTAGTCTTCTTTATCCATTTTATTGTTTTCACTATCAAGTGATTTTATTTTTTTATTTTTAAAAAATATTTATTTATTTATTTATTTATTTATTTATTTATTTTGAGAGAAAGAGAGAGAGAGAATGTGTGCATGCATGTGCAAGCAGGGAAGGGGCAGAGACAGGGGAGAGCAACAATCCTAAGTATGCAACTAAATGTTGCATGAGGGGGGATGAAATCTGTGGTTCACCAGTCATTCCAGGCAATTTAGATGATTGCTAAATTTTGAGAAACACTGAATGAGGCTGGTTTACAGATACAAAGACCAAGGTAAGTTTCTTCCACGTGAGAGCTAGAGTATCCCTAGACACACTTTGATTCAGTAATATTGGTTAAATATTCTTTAATGAAAAAAGTATAATAGTGGCAATTAAGATCTTAAAGAGAATGTTGAGGATTTCAAAACCAAAGTTAGATAGTCATATTTCTGGATTCTTGACTACTTAAATAGAGGGAAACACTTTTCTTTATCTTAGACAATTCAAATATTAAATCACATTTTTAAGAAACCTCTATGTATGCAGTTGAAAAAGTCGTGAGTTTAATTTACTTTCGTGAAGGTTATTCAGAAAAGATATCGCAATCAGATTTTAGGTAGGTTGTTTTTTTAGGTGTATTTCGAATTCTGGAAATGTGATGAGAAGATTGCAATGTGTTATATGCAAATACATAGATAGATACTAGATATATATGCATTATATTTATACATTTTAAATTATTTATACATTTTATACTAAATATGGATATTGGCAATAGTAGAGCAGCATTTTTCTAGGGGTCAAAACATCATTAGGCATCTGAGACATTGGTGGCAGATGTTAGGGTCTCATGACACACAATTAAGAGGTAAGACACTGGTACAGAGATGGACAAAACACCCATAGAAACGGAAGAGGAAGCCTAAGACTCACTTGTTATATGGAAATCTGATTTTTTTACTAAATAGGTAGGCATTGCCAATGGGCTATAAAAGAGAAACTTCCCAACGAATATTCTGTGATATTTTCCCCAAAATTAATTACAGGTACACTCAATATGAAAAAGCAAATTCATTGTTTTAAAAGAAGTGAATACAGTAAAATATCTTTTTGATTCTGTGTTAGAAAGGGACTTCCCAGTGAAGAAATCAAAAACACAATTTAAATAAGGTAACTACTGATCTATTTAACTACAAAAATTTTAAAGATATCTGTTCTCAAAAGACACCCTGATGAAAGCGAAAAAATGAGAAAAAAAAAACTGTAAGACATAAGACTACTAAAGGATGAATATCCAAAATATGTAAAGACTACTTCCAATCTGGAAGAAAAATAGTGCCTTCCCCCTAGGTAAAACGTCTGAAACTTCACAGGAGGATAAGTAAGCAATAAATGTGAGGATCTTCTCAACCGCATTCATAGTTAAAGACAAAATTAAAATGACAATCACTACCATCAGATGAACATTTAAAGGATTAATATATTAAGTTTTGGTAATGAGGTGAAGCAACTCTCTTGGCTGAGCAGAGAAAGATCTGCGGAAGGAGGGGGGACCAGTATGGGAGGTTGGGATGGGGGAGTGGTCTAGGCAAGGTTTGGGTGTGCTGAGTCCAACTTTCCTCCAACCTCACCTGGAGGCAGAGGGTGAGCTGAAGGCCAGAGGGTGGCTATTACAGAGGATGAAGACCAGGATGCCTCTCGTGTGCGTGCTGGCACCACAAAGCCACCCACCCCATACAGGGCATCAAGGGCACTGCATTGAGCAGGACAAGCGGGGAGGCTCTTGGCAGCCCTACTGTGGCTTTTTAATAATTCCCGAAGCTATCACAGGGAGACTGGAAAAAGTCACTTGCCACTTCCGCCACACCCTGCTATTACATATTTGAAAAATGCTGTTTTCCTCGTGTTCTGGCCTCAGCAGCTCTAACTTCTGCATCTTCTAGGCACATGCGGGACCATGCATGGTGCCTTCCCAGAGCCCAGGTCTCGGCTTTAGCCAAGCACTCTTCTGGGCTCCAGGCCAAAACCAGGGTCCCAACCCTGTCACATGTCTGATAGTGACAGTGCAACATAAGGTGGCTGGCACTTTGAGAATTTTGAAGGCTTAGGTCGCATTTGTTTTCAGAATGAGTTCTCCTTAGGGGAACTGACCCCGGGCACTTGGGGTGCAGGGAGGGGTGTTCCACACCCAAGAAAGATCAGTGAAATCTGGGGAGATGATTTCCAGGCCCCGCCCACCTTAGACAGGGCCCCGGAATCCCTAGGAATAGGCAGCGCTCAAAGCATCAGAGAACTCTTGTCCAAAGGCTCTGGACAGTACTTGCCTAGCAGGTCTGATTTGGAAGCTCCTGATGTACCCGACAAGGGAGGGAGAGGCTAACTTTGCACCAGCCATCCTCACTCCCTGCATGAGAGGGTCTCACACCTGGGGGGGACACTAGATGAGACAGAGTCGTGATGGACCTTTGTGGCCAAGAGCTTGGAGATAGATTACTGACCTCCTCTTCTCGAAAGGCCTGACATTTGCCTCCTTTTAGCCTAAAAAAAGCTGCACATTCCCTGTTTCTTCCCCTTCTGAGTAGAATTTAGTGTTTTGTGATGACCCACACTGGATTCTTTTCCCATCAGGTACTTCCTAATAAAGGGGTATATTGGAGATACTCGTCACACGCACACAAACACCTTGTAGTGGAGCCCAGTGCTCACAACACTACAAATCCCTAGAACCTAGTTTCTAGAACCTCTTATGCAAGACCCTGGCCCCACTCCACCACTGTCAAAGCCTGCTTACTTAACTCACTCAGGAAAATAAGTACACAGTAAAAATCAAAGGGAGCCATTGTGTCTCAAGCCTAGCTGCTCTAAGCACACAGACACCCAGAACACAGACAGACACACAAATCCCTCCAGGTGGGGAGGGGAGGGGGAAGGGAAGAGGGAAAGAGAGAACACTAAAATAACTATATCAAAAGAGCAGGAGATCAACAGACATTTTAATGAAAAGAAGATAATATTAGAAGCACATTTGTGCCAACTAACTCCACAGCTTAGATGTGGGCAACATTATTGAAAGAGACACAATACCTGGGGTGCCTGGGTGGCTCTGTGGGTGAAGCGGTTCAGGTGGGTAAGCATCTGACTCACAATTTTGGCTCAGCTCAGGATGTCATGGTCATGATCATCATGAGAAGGGGAGAGACAGGGAGAGAGAGAGAATTCCAAGTAGTCTCTGCACTGTCAGCAAAGAACTGGGTGTGGGCCTGGATCTCATAAATCCTGAGGTCATAACCTGAGCCAAAATCCAGAGTCAGACGCTTAACCAACTGAGTCACCCAGGTGCCCCACTTTTTATCTGTCTTTAAGAAAATCTAGGGTGCCTGGGTAGCTCTGTTGGTTAAGCATCCAAATATTGGTTTCAGCTCAGGTCATGATCTCATGGTTCATGAGTTGGAATCTCTCATAGGGCTCTTGCCGACAGTGTAGAACCGGCTTGCTATTTTTTTTCTCTCCCTCCCTCTCTCTGCACCTCCCCTGCACTCTCTCTCTCTCTCTCTCTCTCTCTCTCTCGTTCTTTCTCTCACTCTCAAAGTAAATAGATAAACTTAAAAAAGTTTTTAAAAAGCAGAGAAAAAGTTTATATTTGAGAGGTATTTATTTATTTATGGGGAGTTCATTTATTTTAAAAACAACAAATCCACATGGATCACATAGGTTAATTCAAGGTGTGGCTTCTTACTAGCGATTAAATGTGGAAGTTTGATTAAGCTGATTTAAGGTTTCTAATCAGTCATCATCATCACGGTGTGTCTTCCCAGATGCAAAAATCCAATCATGAACTCCAACACCTTTCCCAAGATTGGATAATCCAAGATAATTATCTTAAATTTACATTTTAAAAGGATCACTTTTGCATTTTTGGAGAGACACTGGAGAGGGGAGGAGGAAGATTGATTAGGAGGCTCTTATGAAAATCTAGATGAGAGGCGATAATGACGTGAACCAGTGAAGTCTTAGAAGGTGGATGTGAAGGTGATTACAAGTACTGGCATATCTTGTTTTATTGCGCTTTACTGTAGTGCCCCTCACAGATACTGGATTTTCTTATATTCCATATTGAAGGTTTGTGGCAACCCCGAATGAAGCAGATCTGTCAGCACAATGTTCCCACAGCATTGTTCACTTCATGTCTCTTTGAATATTTTGGTAATTTTTGCAATATGTCAAACGTTTTTGTTATTACCTTTGGTATTATTTTGTAATTGTTTTGGGGCACCAGGAATTGTGCCCATACAAGACAGAGAACTTAATCGCTAAGTGTTGTGTGTTTTCTGACTGCTCCACATAGCAACTATTCCCCCATCTTTCTCCCTCTCCTAGGGTCTCCCTGAGACCACAATGTTGACATTAGGCCAATTAATAACCTTACCATGGCCTCTAAGGGTTCAAGTGAAGAGAAGAAACAATCTGTGAGGCTGACTTCATTGTTGTCTTCTTTTAAGAAATTGCCTCAGCCATGCCAATCTCCAAAACCCACCACCCTTGATCAGTCAGCAGCCATCAACATTGAGGCAAGACCCTCCATCAACAGAAAGATTATGACTTGCTGAAAGCTCAGATGATGCTTAGCATTTTTTAGCAAGAAAGTATTTTTCAAATTAAGGTATGTACATTTTGTCCAACATAAGGGTAGTGCATACTTAACAGACCACAGTGTAGTGTAAACATAATTTTTATCTGCACTAGAAGACTGAAACATTCACCTGACTCACTTTACTACAGTGGTCTGGAACTGAACAGCATTATGTCCGAGGTATGCCTATAGTTGATTTCTGGTGATAATTTGAAGGTGGAACCAATAGTATTTCATGATGTGGATCACATGTAAGGTCTGAGATTAATGAGAGACATCAACTGTGGCCCAAGGATGTTGGCCCGAGGAACTTGCACACAGGAATACTGAACACATGTATGAGCAGGAGAAAAATCAGGAGTTGGATTTTGGTTGTACTAAGCTCGGGATTCCTGTTAGACATCCAGCTGGAGATGACAAGTCTACAGTTCAAGAGAGAGGTCTGGGACACAGATCCAACTGTGGGAGTCATCAGTGTAGAGATAGTATCTAGAGTTTTGTAGGACTGTGGTTACTAGAGAAATAATTATAAATAGGAAACTTGAGCCCAGGGCCATTTCAAATTTGAGAAGCTTAAGAAATGAAGAGAGAAAAAGAGCATTCAAGTAGGAGATCCCAGAATTAGTGTTTTGGAAGCCAAGCAAAGACTGGTTTTTAAGAAGGAAATAGTAGTAGCCTTGCCAGTGGGTTGAGAGGAAGGCTAAGAGGTAACCACTGGATTCAGAAGAGGTGGATAAGAGTTCAGGGTGGTAGTGAGGGAGTTTGGAATGAGTTGGAGAGGAGGAGGTGGAAACAGTAGTGAGTATAGATGACTCTTGAGGAGCATAGTTGTGGAGGACAGCAGATAAATGGTTTGGTTGTTGAGGGGGCTGTGGGTACAAGGAACTTTTTCTTTGTTTTTACTATTTTTTAAAATAGTTTATTGTCAAGTTGGTTCCCAAACAACACCCAGTGCTCATCCCCACAAGTGCCCTCCTCCATGCCCATCACCCCCCCTCCCCTCTCCTCCATACCCATCAGTCCTCAGTTTGTTCTCAACATTCAAAAGTCTCTCATGGTTTGCCTCTGTCGGAGGCAGAATCCGGCAGGTCCAGGGGTCCCTGAAGGATGGGCGGTGTCGGCGAGAGAGAGTGAGAGCGCCCGAGATTCTTTCTGATCACCAGGCAGGCATCTCTGCTCTGACTGGGGCTCCACTTTATTTTAAACGTTTTGGAGATGGCACAGAAGTGTCATTTGCCTTAGACAATGATTTCTGACAACAAACTTCTTAGATATGTAAGAATTTCCCAGAACATAGATTTATAGAAGACTCATGCATAACCTTTATCAATAGCCATTGAGGTAGGGGATTTAGATGCTTATCTTATGGGGAAGGAAGTCTTCTTTAGCATATCAGAAAATGTTTTTAGCATAAGAGGGTGAAGTTACTTCTCTGTGAGCAGGGGTCAAAAACAGGTCTTTCAGGAGATACCTTTGCTCTCATAATCACAAAAAGAAGAAGTTCCTCAAAAGGTTCCTTCACAGGGAGTAGTCAGCATATACAAGGCCAGAAAATGCTCCAGGCAGAAACAAATGGGTGGGGGTAGATATTTGCCCTTAACTCTAAATTAGGCTCTTTGCCTCAGGGCCAGACTCAAGCCCCCTTTATTATGTAAGTCTTGGATCTGCAAGACCCTTAGGAAGAGCCTTTGATAATCATCTTTGGAAAGACAAGGACATGCCTTTCCTTATGATCAATCTGTGTGGGGAATATCGGTCTGATCTGGAATATTGTGAGACCTGGTCAATACCAGCAGTCTCATTTACAACATGAGCCAGTAGTAGCAGAAGGAGATACCAGTTTCCTTGCTGTGACTGCCATTCAGAGAGGCTGGTGCGGCTCCCGGCATGCTTCCCATCCTTCCCCCCCCCCCCATTTCTCCCATTCTTCTCCCCCGTGGTCCCTGTTAAGTTCCTCCTAATCCTCCTATACGTGCAAACATATGATATTTGTCCTTGTCTACCTGACTTATTTCGCTCAGCATAACACCCTCAAGGTCCATCCATGTTGCTACACGTGGCCAGATTTCATTAATTCTCATTGCCATGTAGTATTCCATTGTATAGATAAACCACATCTCTTGATCCATTTGTCCGTTGATGGACACTTAGGCTCTTTCCATGTTTTGGCTATTGTTGATAATCTCCCAACAAATAAGAGCCCTGGGCCAGATGGCTTCCCTGGGGAATTCTACCAGACATTTAAAACAGAATTAATACCCATTCTCCTCAAACTATTCCAAAAAATAGAAATCGAAGGAAAATTTCCAGACTCATTTT